ATTATTGCGAGTTTAATTTATGATCATTGACATGCTGCAGCAGCCGAAACACACACATACACGTGCAGGGAAACCGCATTGTGGGTGGGGAGTGGTGAGGTGGTGGGGGGTGGGGGGTGGAAAATGCAGGCTGGCGTCCAGCTATTGTATCTATTCCTCGCTTTAGCCGCCCGCCCTCCGCTGCAGATTGTCTGGCATTGTGTGCAAACTGCAACTGTTTCAAAAGTTTTTCTCTCCTTTCCACGGGGGAAAACTACAGTCCTTTGTGGGCAGGAGAAGGGGGAGGGGAAGGAGGAAAAGTGGGGAGGGGGGAGGGGGAAATGGGGAAAACGGGGGCGCTTGCCTCGCTGAAAGTTGGCTGATATGTCGGCATCAACAATGATGATGATGACGGAAATGTGGACGGACCCGTTGCAGTATTCCAACATATGTACGAGTGTGTGTGGGTGTAAGTCTGTGTTAGTGTGTGTGTGTGGCAAGTTGTATGAAGCGCCCAGGAGATTTGCACTCAGCTGGGCAGCAGTTAAGGATTGCCTGCATCTCGGAATGCGGTTGGCATGCGGAATGTGCCGGCAAGCAATCTGCACCCAGGTATTTGCCACCGTAAGTGAGCATAATTACGTCAAATTGAACTCAAAGGAGTTTGGACAGCCATCAGGTTAGCTTGCCTCATTTGCGTAGCATACTTTTCAGGGCAATCACTCAAAACATCACAACTTGAATAGTAATCTACAAAAAACTTATCGAGTTTTATTTGTTTTAAGAGCACCTATATGCAGTATATATTATCCACAACATTGTCTTCTCAGCAATAAGGTTTTTAATCTCCATAAAAAATCACCTTTTACTACTAAAGGCAACCTCTGCCGTAATAAATGCCTTGAATTTTCAATAAAATCGGATTATTTTCTCCACCCCCGCAATCGCATTTTGTTGGCCTGTGTTTTTCCTGCTTGTCGCTGGCAATTAAAAATCAAATTCGCTTTGCTCTAACGCTTTTCCAAATGAGATTTCGCTATATCCTATACCCCCCCTATAGCCCCCTCTTATCCCTCTAAAAACCCCTCCTTCCATGTCGCTGTCATAATTTCGTTAAATAACGCAGCGCGGACACCTCATTGGATGGGATTGGATTGGATCGCAGCGAAGAGGAGCGGAGCACTTCCCAGTTGGGAGTTTTGTGAGGCAGCTAGTTTATGTCACACAAATATCCAATGACAGTCACCCCCCTCCCCCTCCCCTCCCCTTTTCCCCCTCTCCCAACTCCTCCCATGCATTCCCTTGGCTTCATTTTCGATTTTTTGGCTTTGCTGCCAAAATACGGGGGAAAAACAAAATGAAAAGAATATGCGGAAAGCAGCGGAGAAATGCGGGGAAAGCGGGAAACTAAAGCGCAGACTAAATCATGTTGGGGCAGTTGTTAGTGGGCGTCGGTGGGCGTGGCCTCTTTGCTAATTTCATTGACTCTTCAATTTTTGGTCGGCTGCCAAGCGGCCCTAAGTGGGTGGGATGTTTATGAGTTACTTTGGCCCTAGTTCGCTTACAGTGGCAACAGTCTAAGTAAAACTAAGGACTCAGCTTAAATTTAAATTCCGAATAATAAGAGTTGTGATAGCATTTCATTTGGTAATCGCCTTATGCAATTTTCGAAGCTAAATCCTTAGTGGAAACCAATTTAACCATAGTTAAGCTACAGTTTATATAAAATGTTGCTTCAAATTAGAAAGCAAAACTCAGAGAAAGGCTTGCATTGCAATAATAATTAATCATACAACCTTTGGTTGAGATTTCTCGCACCTGCTTGTTTTGAGGGTCTGCGAAGTTTTTCAATTACTTTAAGTGCGAGTGGGCAACAAGTTTGGCCTTCGTGGGCTTCGTCACTTTCGAGGCAGGTACAGTTGTGCCTGGTCACTCGAGTGGAGTTCTTTTAAAGATGTGTGTGTGTGTGTGTGGAAGACCAACACCCCTCGAAAAAGGGGACCGCACTTCCTTGGGAGTTTCATGTTCTTCGTTTCGTATATTTGCTTTGTTTTTTTCATTTATTTTCTTTTTTTTTTCTGTTTTTTTTTTTTTCGTTATACTCCAGCCTTACATGTGTCGCACACACATGCAGGCCACTGGCAGGATAGTCACATATATCATTGTCAAGTCTATATGCAAGGCATCCCCCTGATCCCCACTGCCGCACCACCCATCACCCCACCACCCCCTTTCCTTTCCTCTCCTCCCCTCCCCTTTTGCCATGAGATATCATTCCCTTGACAGCGCGTGGGGCGTGCGGCAATCTTTTTGGCTCGTCAAATGCGCATTTCCTGCTTAGAGTCCTTGCTGCTGCCTCTGTATGTCGTTGTATGTGTGTATGGGTGTGTGCGTGTGTATCTCCTCTTTGGCTGTGTGAGTGTATCTGTGTTTGTCTCCAGCGCAATCAATATGGCGGCGCTGGGTAATAGCTGCAGGATTTACGCGCTCGTGCGGCGTCTCCGGTTTACCCGCAAAGCTCCCCGCTCCCCCTCCCCACTCCCACTCCCCCTCCCCCTTCTGACTTTTCCATCCACAAATCCTGCGCCTTCGTCCTCGCCAGTTACCTTTAAACTTTTTTTATTGATATTTTATGTATTAGTGGGAGTGTTTCCGCCAGTGGGCGAGTTACTGTTGCCGTGCGGCGGGGGTTTTTGTCTTCTTATGAAAGCTGCTGTAATGATTTGTTTTATGAACTTGTTCCTGGCTTCGATCCGCAGCCAATCGATGTTTAACCAAGGCCCATCGACTTCATTTGGGGGAAGGTATTTATGACTGACAGCGGAGGATGAAGCTGGTGTGCTTTGGCTTGGGCGAACCAACAAGTTATTTGGCTTGTCTTAAATGGGAGACTGAGGAGGGGAAATACCCTATTGAGTAATAAACCTTTAAGGCTTAAAATTTTAATTAAAAAGTGTGAAACGTATGAGAAATGGATTCGAAATAGCTATTGGATACTTAATTAGAAACCATTCGATACTTAATCAGTACTTGAAGGATTCTTGTAAGAATGTTAATGGTATTTATCATTTCTTTAACTCTTTTCTCTCTCTGTATATAACCACACATATCATGGCTTAAAGCGAATTCCGTTTTCCACTCAGAGCTGCCTTCTTAAACCTCACCTTCGGGTTCGCAGAGGTAGGCGCATGATTTATGGCCAACATTCAAACGGAGTGGGTGGTGTTTGGGTGGTTGACTTGCTGGTTTGCTGAAGGCCACCACACACACTCATACACACACACACACACACACATCGGCCAATGCCAAAGCCAAGGCACTAAACTTCAATTAGCCCCGACGCGAGTCCATGACTTTTAATCAGCGTACTTTACGCCACTCACTCGCTTTCGCACTCGCACTCTCGCTGTCCTGCTCGCACGCCTGATGAAAATGAAAATGAAAATGCGTGGAGCTGCAGAAAACACACAATAAATTAAACCAACAAGGCAATACAACAACATCACAGAAACAACAAAAGGATAGACATTGAGGTATCCTGCTGTAAAGTATAGATAAAAATTTAAATGGAAATTTAATAAATAGATGGAAATTGGAATACCCTGTTGAAAAGCATTCTTTTTGTAGGAAACCTATGATCATTTTGGCTTTCAAATGGTAGGTTTTTGTTCCGTATTCTTCAATATTTTTCCCCATATCCTAAACACCCTTAATGTAACAATTACTGGGTGCTAAAAGGCAAACGCAAATGCAAAGTTGCTTAGTGCGCTGGTTGCTGCTGCTGCTGCTGTTGCTGTTGCTATTGCTTTTGCTAATGGTCACACATGAAAAGTTAAAACCCCTTGAAGGGTGAAGGAAAATAAGCCCTGAATTTTGCCGCAAGCACAGTGGTTCGCAGTCCGGGAAAGTCGCCCATCGCCATCAGAAGCCATGGAAACTCCGGGCGGAGGGTGTGCGGTGTGTCCGGTGACAGGATTTATTTGCAGCCAGCAGATTCGAGGGTGAGGATGAGGTGGCGGGTTCCCAGTTCCCAGTTCCGAGTTCCGAGGGCAAACACTCGAGGGCAAGCGAGAGGAATGGAAATGAGGATGAGGAGCAGGGGGTTCCGGGTGGAAAGGTTGAGGACAAAGTGGGGAGTCGACCGTGGGATGGCATTGAAGTTCCAGGGTCGATCGCTTTCGCTGTCCTCCGCTCATTTTGCATGTCGCCCGCCGCTCTTTTCGGGGGCCCCATTACAATAACAAATGAATGGCAAATTTGCTGCTCAGTGGGGGGAATCCCCCTCACACACACACACACACACAGGCGCAGCAAAACACAGACAGACAGAGAGACAGACGCAGCAAAGTAGACTATGAAAAAGTGCCGAAAGATTTATGCTTGCCACTGGCTTCTCGTCCTTTCCCCTTAGTTTGTGTGTGTGTGTGCGTGTGTGTGTTTGGCAGTCAATGCGGATTCAAAAGCCATCCTGGCGATAATAAGCTTGAAAGCCTTCCACCCACTCTGCACAAGTGTGGGTGCCACAGAGAGTGTATGAGTGTGTGCGAGATGACAGCAAATAAGACAGCTGCAAATGGAGAAGGTGTTGGCCTCGCCTTGCACCTTCCTCTTCAAGGGGGAGTGGGATCTGGATGCCAAGCTATGTGTCGGGTATTAGCCTCCAAAATCCTTCGCACTGGCATCCCAGGCAAATTACCAGAATGCCAGCAGCCGGTGACAACCATTCGAGTGTCCTGTCAAACTCGGTTGCTTGCTTGCCGGCAAGTCTCGCACATAACGTAAATAAGATCAAAGATCCAACTGATGTGCTTGCACTCGATTTCATCTGCTTTTTCAAATCTCCTTTTAAACTAGAATGCATGGGGGTTTATTCAAGAGTGTGGAAAATATCTCCTTTAGGTATTACCATCTTCTTGTTGATATAAATATAAATGTTCAAAAGGATTCGATTACAGCAATAGAATTAATGTTAAGTACTTGTCACTTTATTAATCCCCATCTATTATTTAATCCTCCTGCAGGTGTCCGCTGGTCAGCATCTGCATCTGAGTGGCGACATGAAGAGCAACGTCTCGGTGGCCGCCCAGCAAGGAGTCTTCTTCAGCCAGCAGCAGGCGCAGCAGCAGCAGCAGCAGCAACCCGGCGGCAGCAACGGACCCAATCCGCAGCAGCAGCAGCAACAGCCGCATGGCGGCAACGCTGGCGGCGGAGTGGGCGTTGGTGTGGGCGTGGGAGTGGGCGTGGGCGTGGGCGTTGGCAATGGCGGTCCCAATCCCGGACAGCAGCAGCAGCAACCAAATCAAAACATGAGCAATGCAAATGGTAAGCAGAATACTTTAAAAACTACAAATAGAGAACCAATTTAAATCAATTGAAAATTAACCAATAAAAATTGTTATCTATATTAATTTAATTCTATTTCAACTATATTTCATTGTTATCTTATATTAATTTAATTGTGTTTTAACTATATTACAGTTCCCTCCGATGGCTTCTCGCTCTCGCAGAGTCAGAGCATGAACTTCAGCCAGCAGCAGCAGGCGGCGGCGGCGGCGGCAGCAGCGGCGGCGGCGCAGCAGCAACAGGCGGCCGCCCAGCAGCAGCAGGTTCCGCCGAACATGCGCCAGCGTCAGACGCAAGTGCAGGCAGCGGCTGCGGCGGCGGCGGCGGCAGCGGCGCAGGCGCAGGCGGCGGCCAATGCGGGCGGCGGTCCGAACGTGCCGCTCATGCAGCAGCCGCAGGTCGGAGTGGGCGTTGGCGTTGGCGTCGTTGGAGTGGGCGTTGGCAATGGAGTGGGCGTGGTGGGCGGAGCCGGCAACGGCGGTCCCAACAACGGTGCAATGAATCAGATGGGCGGGCCCATGGGCGGCATGCCGGGCATGCAGATGGGCGGACCCATGAACCCGATGCAGATGAATCCCAACGGAGGCGGTCCCTCCGCCCAGCAGATGATGATGGGCGGCGGTGGAGGGGGACCGGGCCAGGTTCCGGGTGGGGGACCCGGACCCAATCCCAACCAGGCCAAGTTCCTGCAGCAGCAGCAGATGATGCGCGCCCAGGCGATGCAGCAGCAGCAGCAGCACATGTCCGGCGCCCGTCCGCCGCCGCCGGAGTACAATGCCACCAAGGCGCAGCTGATGCAGGCCCAGATGATGCAGCAGACGGTGGGCGGCGGCGGCGTGGGCGTGGGCGTCGGCGGTGTCGGCGTGGGCGTAGGCGTGGGAGGCGTCGGTGGGGCCAACGGCGGTCGCTTCCCGAACAGCGCTGCCCAGGCGGCGGCCATGCGGCGCATGACCCAGCAGCCCATCCCGCCGTCCGGTCCGATGATGCGGCCGCAGCACGCGATGTACATGCAGCAGCATGGCGGAGCGGGCGGCGGTCCGAGGAGCGGCATGGGCGTGCCCTACGGCGGCGGAGCGGGCGGACCGATGGGCGGACCGCAGCAGCAGCAGCGACCGCCGAATGTCCAGGTCACGCCGGATGGCATGCCCATGGGCTCGCAGCAGGAGTGGCGGCACATGATGATGTCGCAGCAGCAGACGCAGATGGGCTTCGGCGGACCAGGACCTGGCGGACCCATGCGGCAGGGACCAGGAGGATTCAATGGAGGTAAGTTGTTGCTGATTTAAATGCAATAGGAATTTATTTAAATACTCTTGTATTTCAGGCAACTTCATGCCCAATGGTGCACCCAATGGAGCGGCGGGCAACGGACCCAATGCCGGTGGCATGATGGCCGGCCCGAATGTGCCGCAAATGCAGCTGACCCCCGCCCAGATGCAGCAGCAACTGATGCGGCAGCAGCAGCAACAGCAACAGCAGCAGCAGCAGCAACACATGGGCCCCGGCGGCGGCAACAACATGCAGATGCAGCAGCTGCTGCAGCAGCAGCAGTCCGGCGGCGGGGGCAACATGATGGCCAGCCAAATGCAGATGACCAGCATGCACATGAGCCAGACGCAGCAGCAGATCACCATGCAGCAGCAGCAGCAGTTCGTGCAGAGCACCACCACCACCACGCACCAGCAGCAGCAGATGATGCAGATGCAGGGTCCAGGCGGCGGCGGCGTTGGCGTTGGCGGTGGAGTGCCGGGATCGGCCAGCAACAACAACGGCGGCGGCGGCGGCGGAGGCGGCGGGCCAGCGGGTGGAGGCAATGCATCCTCGACCATTGCCAGTGCCAGCTCGATTAGCCAGACGATCAACTCGGTGGTGGCCAACTCGAATGATTTCGGTCTCGAATTCTTGGACAACCTGCCCGTGGACAGCAACTTCTCCACGCAGGATCTGATCAACTCCCTCGACAACGACAATTTCAACCTGCAGGACTTCAACATGCCGTAAAGGAATGTTGTCGGGAAGCACTCAAAAGGATCACCAACAACCACAACCACCACCTCCAGCCAGCACCAAACACAACCACAACCACCACCACCACCACCACCACCTCCATAATAACCACCACGATGTTGCCTCAGTTTTGTTTAGATTTTTATTTTGTTGCCTGTTGTTGTTATTGGCCTGGGCAGCCGAACCCGAACCGCCCTACCGCCTACCGCCCCCCTCAAGGCCCCGCCCCCCTCGTTCCTGCCAACGAAGTTATTTTGTTTGTTATTTGTGTGTGAATTTATTCCTAAGCTAAGTTCGTCGTTCGTCGTTCGTCAATGTACTCTAATTTCGCGGGCTCCACTGTATTTTATTGTATTCTATTCTATTGTATTGTATGTATTATTAGAGCTGTTCCCAAGGTCCAAGGCGTGCGCCCATTTGGGGCGTGGCAGAGCGGCGAGAGTTCGCAAGACATTCCATATGCACCGGTCGAACTGAGGAATTAGGGAAATTCGAAAAGTATTTGCAAGTACTTTAAAAACAACCGAACAGATCTAAAATTCACATACACCGATACACACAGACTCGCTGTGTAACTTAAGCACTTGTACTTAATGCAAATTTGAAAGTGCCACGCCCAGCGGATTGCACGCCCCATTTCGTTTCGATTACTTAAGCAAAAGAAAAACAAAGCAAAAAACAAAACAGATGAAATAATGGAAGCAAACGCAAAAAGAACCAACAACAAAACAAAATCGAAAAACAAAACACAAAATAGTTGTACATTTTATATTGTATTTAATTTTATTTAATTTTTATAAAAACAAAATCGACAAACTAAAACAAAGAAAGAAAGAAACAAACAAAAAAAATGGGAAAACAAAATCGAGAAACTGTCAGAATAAAGAGCAAAAATATTGGTGATATTTTAAATGCTTAAACACAAATTGAGAAATAAGCGAATCAAATGAGAAAACAACAAACAAAAAGCGAAGACCACAAAGCAAAGTGAAAGGGAAGAACTTTTTAAAACAACATAAATTTGAGAATGAGAAACAGTTATTATTATTATAATTCTAATTATTATTGTACATTAATTTTTTTAGACGAGTTCATTTTTAAATGGAATTTTAAACGCGGAGCAACAGTGCGAGAAATGCGCAAACAAAACATATTTAAAAAATATACACTATATATATATATATTATGCGTAGTTTTTGGTAGTGAAACGTAATTAGTAGTTTGTTAAATAAATTGATATACACCCACAAATACATAATATACAAATCATATGTATGCGATCCGATATATTTGATTACTGTAAAAGCAGCGCTAACAATTTACGAGTATATATTTAGTCCTAAGTCGCCACAAAATGTTTGAGGAGATAAGCGGAGATCGAAATTTATATTTACTAGATGCGCCTGGCCGCATTACCAAGTGATGCCATGCCAAGCCAAGCCACGCCCACACAGGATGAGAGTAGGACGAACAATATTAGAGCAAACAAAAAAAAAAAACAAAACAAAACAAAAATCGCGAAAACAAGCAAATGAAAACGCCAGAGATTCCAGCAATGAAATTATTGTACGACAACTAATTAGAGCAATTCCATAAGTCCGTAAGTTAGACGTTCAGTTGAGGCCATAGAAATTTTTGAATCGGGCACATCGGTTGCCACTTCCACAATTATATAGTAACAGACAGCTCACAGCCATTTTTGCAGAGTTTACATTAATTAGGATCAACAGCAACAAATCCATAGCACACGCCTAGCAAAAAAATATATAATAAATTTAATGAAAAGTATTTAAGCCGCAGACAAACAAAACGATAAAAATCTAACAAAATTTACTATTACAATTATAAATGAATAAAAATACGCGAATTGTAGTTTGTAATTAATGCTAAAGATACGAAGTAAAAATTTGTTTATAACTATTATATACCGCAAATTATATATACACTATTATTACTATATACAATATGGCATATTATTATTACATATATATTTCACCATGAAAGCAAACTAGCGAGCAAATTCGTAAGGTGTTCAGCAGCCGCCTCGCTAAGCAGTTCCATTGATTAGTTTTCCCGCGAACCTTTGGCCCAATCCCGGCGAGAAACAGAAGCAAATCCGAACTTGATATCAATTAACAAGAAAGCCACCAGCTGCCAGCGGCAAACCAAAAGCATTAAATACTTACCATTTCAAAACTGCAAAGGAACGAGCAAGAGCATCGCAATTGCCTTAAGCCTGGTTTGATTTCACACACGAGTAACATCGATGTGGGCCGTCGTTTGGTTTTCTATTTGATTGGCCAAAATGCATTGGTGCCTGAGCCTTCTGTTTGCCGTTCTGTTGTTCTCCGAGATTGAACGAATGTTGGGAAGCAAACACAAACATTTAAAGATGTTCTTTTACGATTAAAAAGAAAAGTAACAAAATAAAATAGAAAAATATTACTTTTGTAAATAAACGAGAAGTTGTTTTTATTGTTGTTGGTTGGCACCTCTTCACGTATGTATTACCCCAATAATGATCATCATATAAAGGGTATAGATTTATTTCTTGTTTAGTTTTCATTCATATTTATTGATTCTTCATACGCATGTTCATAATACATAATTGCATATTGTACGACTTATGATAAATATTTCCATATAATTCCGTTTGAAATACTTGCATTTAAAGTGTATGTGTGGTGGTGTGTGCTTTAATCGTTTAACATTATGGGGTGTACGTAGGCATATTCAATAATCCTATATAGATTTCGCAACAAACTCGCGATTTGCCCGTTCCCATCGGTTGGCAATGGGAACCGCAAGTACGCAAGTAGTTTTACATGTGGGTATTATTGGACTTATGTAACTGAGCACTCCACGTGGATTTACTAGGCAGTTGAACTTAAAAATTAACAAGCTTGATGGCTAATCATATTTGTGTACATGTACGCGTGGGGTGTGGGTGGTGGAACTAAAACAATTTACAAATAATTAGCAACTATTGCGAGAACTAAAAAGTGTGCTAGAACCTAGTTAGATACTAAAATTTCCAATATTTACTCGTATGTTAATGTTAATGTTTATGGTTTAGTTTTAGTTTTAGGCTTTAGGTTTTAGGTTTTCTAACTTTTCAACACTTAGATGCTAGTGCTAAGGGTGCGGCCTGCCAATTCGAACGACTTCATTATACTCCCATCCAATTCTCGCAATACCTCAAAGAGTTTTCGTTTAAACAATGTAAATGCATCGATCGCTTGGTTAGTGTTTTTCTCCATTAGAATTCATTCCGTTTGTCGCGAATGCGCTTCGGTTTCGGTATCTGTGTTCTGCTTGTATTATGCAATAAAATCAGCCTTAGTTATAATAATTGTTACTCGTGAAAACGCATCTATAAGTTTGGGTTGCCTATGACGATATTTGCATTAAGCGCGGGCAAATATTTGAGAACCTCTTTCAATACAATACGATCTCCGTCTTAAATCTGCTCCTGTAATACTCTGGCAAGTTAAAGTTTTTCTCTAAAAAAAACAATCATACAAAAAATCTGTTAAAAGTAAAAATCTGTAAATTTTACTAGCAAAAATTTACGTTTTGTTTTCCATTTCGATTTTTTTGTTTCTCCTTTCTTTTTGTTTCGAATATAAAATTTGCCGCCTATTGAAATATTTGTTTTATAAATATTGTATTAAAAACATTATACGTTTTATTCGCTTAGTACTTGTTAGTTTAGTTTAGTTGACTTGACTTGACTGGAAATTCGGCTAAATGCTCAAATTCAAATATTATTGTTACTCGGTGCAACTTCCTTCCCTGCCTTCCTGCCTTCCTGCTTCCTTTAGGCATATAAAACCTACGCTAGTTGTGTGTGTGTGTGTGTGTGTTAGAGTAATGTAAATGTTTATGTTAATGTCCTTTAAATGTTTTGTGCACTAGTCGAACATGAACACGAACACGAACACGAATGATCAATGGATGGATAATGAACTTGCCTGCCCTTCAACATTACGAACTAAGATAGGATGCGGACTGAACTCCACACTATAACTTCTGACACATTGTGCGGCTCGAAAGCAAACTGAAAGATCGGATTCTGAACACCAGAAGTCTGGGCCACTGCCTTTCAGTTTGTTTTCAATGGTTGATTGGTTGGGGATCGGTTAACTAATCATATAATATTGCATACATACTTGCTGTTCGGTTACAGATAGCGATTAGTTGCTGCTCGCGGGCAGCCTACATAAATTTATATCACACGCAATAAATATAATAAAAGTAATGAAAGGTCGAAAGTCGAACGAAACCAAACGAACTGCAGTTCGAACCTCCTCGTGATTTGTGGCTGAAGTGGTTGTTCTTTCTTCTTTTGTTTTTTCTCCGGGTGCAGGCAGTTGCAGCTATTCGTTGTGAGTGGCAATGACTGTTGACTACTAACCCTAACTAACGATGTAACGATTTGGCAAATGGTTCTCCCCCTCTCCTCGATTCCCCCGGGAATATGTATGTAGTTTAGTGCAGCCTGTGGTGGTTGGCCTTCGGCATGGACCCCACAATGCGGACCCTTCCCAAGGTGCCCACGGCTCCAGCGCCAGCGCCGCCGGAGAGTCGCTGGTGCATCTGCAGCATCTGCTGCTGCTGCAGTTGCTGTTGCAGCTGCTGCTGCTGCTGCTGTTGCTGCTGCTGCTGCTGCTGTTGCTGCTGCGGATGGTATTGGCTAGTTGGCAGATGCGGCTGCGGCGCGTGCTTGGCATCGTTGCAATCGCAGAACTGCGGCGGTGGCGCCAACACCAGATTGTCGGTGCACAGCTGCTGCAGATTGTTGTTGCCCGGCTGCACCGCAGCCGCCCCAACGCCCGGAACGCCAGCAACAGCGCCAGAGGCAACAGCCACCAGCTGTCCGCTGGGCAGCATGCCCACAATGTGCGCGGCCATTGGCTGTTGCTGCTGCTGCTGCTGCTGTTGCTGCTGCTGTTGCAGTTGCTGCTGCTGTTGCTGTTGGTTGTGGTGTTGCTGCAGCTGCTGCTGCAGCTGCTGGTGGGGATGTGGGTGGGTCTGTGTGCTCGGGTGGTGGGGCTGCTGGCGCTGGAGCGTGAGCTGCGACGGCTCGCCATCGCTGTCCGCCTCCAGAGGCGGCGGCAGCTGCATCAGGGACACGGCCGTGGTGCGGGTGGCACCCCGCTGCATGGCGATGGCCGCCGCCTGCTTGCGCGTCAGCGAGTTGTGCCGCTGGAAGGCCTTGGCTGGCGGCGAGGGACTGAGGTCGCCGTCGTCGTCCTCCAGGTCGGAACGCGTCTCCATCTCGGACTCGTGGCCACTGCTGGTGCTCTTGTGCAGCTTCTGCTGGTGCTTGGCCACCAGAGCGGCCGTGTTGCTGGCTCCTCCCGCCGCTGCCGCCTTCGCCTTGAGGATCTGCTGCAGGTGCTGCTGGTGGGCCATCTGCTGCTGCTGCTGCTGCAGGATCTGCTGCTGGGTGGCGATCAGCTTCTGGTTGGGATTCGACGACTGCTGCTGCTGCTGCTGCTGCTGTTGCTGCTGCTGGTGATGATGGACGTTGGGAATGCGACCCAGCACCTGGGGACTCATCACGTTGCTGTTCATGTTGATGTTGATGTTGCTCTGCTGCTGCGAGAACTTGTTGCTGTTGGACACAGTTACCGGTTGCTTGCTGCCCAGCTGCTGCTGCTGCTGTTGGATGGCGGGCGCATGTTGCTGCTGCACCAGTTGCTTCACCGTGAGGGTTGCTGTGGGTGGAGTGCCTCCTGCAATCGCACTCGCTCCTCCGCCGCCAATGCTGATGGTGGTCTTGGCCATGGGCTTGGTGGTCAGAGTGCTGTGGCTGCTGTTGCTGCTCGGCTGGTCGGGAATGGTCTTCGGCTCCTCCACGATGGTCACCGATGGCTTCTTCTTGATCGTATCGGTGGGCTTTCCGCCCACTGGCAGGGTCACCCCAGCAGCTAGAGCCATCTGCTCCTGCTCGCTGCTCACGCCGGAGCTGCTGTTGTCGCACTCATCCTCGCCAGGTTGCAGGTGTTGCTGCGGTTGCTGGTGGGCTGACTGCTGCTCCTGCGGCTTCTCCTCCTCCGGCTTCTTGGCAAAGCCGTTGGGCGATGACTTGGAGGTCTTCAGATTGCTGCGAATGCGTTGGATCTCCTCCACGGAAAGGGAGTGCGAAATGGAGGCACTGCCCGAGTTGGAACTGCTGCCACTAGAGGGGGAATTAAATAGAATATCAGTAAGGATTCTGTATTTAAGTATATCCTAGTTAAACTCCTACCTTGCTTGACTATTTCCACTGGTCTCTGGCACATCGAAGAGCGCAATCTTCTCGTTGAGCTTCGTGTTGCGTGCCACCAGAATGGAGTTCTCATCCTCGCCATCCGACTCGCTGCAGCTGTAATCTGGTTCGGGGATCGGAGGAGCAGTGGTTGTAGCTCCACCAGTGCTGGCATTCCCGTTTCCGTTTCCATTGCCATTCCCGTTTTGTGCTGCAACAGGAGCTGCCTGCGGTGGCGGTGGAGCAGGCGGGGATTGGGGAGACTGCGGCTGCTGCTGCTGCACCTGTTGCACTTGCACCTGCACCTGGGGAGCAGCATAGTGAGAGGCCACTGCTGTGGGTTGCTGCTGCACCTGCTGTTGCTGTTGCACCTGCTGCTGCTGCTGTTGCTGCTGTTGCTGCTGCTGCTGCTGCTGGGGACGCATCTGCGTGGGAGCAGCATACTGACTCACTGGCTGCTGGGAGCCGGCGGATGTCTCCTGGGAGGACTTCTCCTGCGCCTGCCGCAGCTTCCAGGCCATCACGTTGCGCAGCTCCTGGGGAGAGGCGTAGATCTTGGCGTTCGCCGAGGGATTGAAGCTGCTCTGGACGCCGTCGATGGCGGCACTGGTCACCGCGTCGTTCTCCGCCCGCTTCTTCAGCTTCTGCTGCAAGGAGATGGTGCTCTCGTACTCGGACACGCTGCTGCGTGTCTCCACCTTGACCACCTGACCCACCGGCGGAGGAGGTGGTGGGTGGTTGGGTGGCGGCAGCACTGCTCCTCCTGCTCCTGCTCCTCCCAATCCTCCCAGCTTCAGCTCCGCCTGGTTGGAGTTCAAGCGCTGCAGCGAGGCGTGCAGAGTGGCCACGTCGTCCTGCGAGTGGTGACCCTTTCCGGCCGCCTGCCAAATGGACGAGGCGGATCCGTGCAGCTGGGGACCGTGCAGATCGGGCGTGGAATGGAACCGCTTCAGGTCACGACCGCCTCCCGGTCCGCCTGCTCCCACGGTGGGCGTGGCCACTGGTTTTCCACGTAGGGTGCCACTGCCATGCTTGCTCCTCGCCGCCTTGCGCTTCATCTCGGCCACACTTCCATAGACCAGAGGACCACTCCTCATGGGCGAACCATTCGCAGCGGGAGGAGTGGCTGCCCCACTGTCCGTTCCGGATTGGAACCGCGAGCTGGTCATCATGGTGGCATAGCGACTGGCGTTCGCGTTGCCGTTGCCCTCGCCCTGCTGCCGCTGGAAGAGCTCCTCCAGCTCGGCGGCCGTGATCCTGCTGGAGGTGGGCCTCGCCTTGATGCTCGCCGTGCGCAGCTGGACGGGAGTTCCCGGTCCCGTCTGGTTGCCACTGGGCGTGGGCGTGGCAATCGACTCCACCGAGTTGGACTTGGTGTGCGGCAGGTCGTCCTCCTTCTCGCCTCCGTTCTCCAATCCCGCCACCATGGACTTGGCCCTGGCTCTGCCCACACTCAGAGTGGTCTTGGGATCCCTGCGTGGTGGCATCGGAGCCATTCGCACACTGCCCCCCGAGGAGGAAGCACCTCCCCCTCCTCCTCCGCCTCCTGCTCCGCCTGGTCCCGTCATCTTCCTGGGCAACGTGGCGCACTGGCGATGGGAACTTTGTGGGGTGCTGGGTCCACTGTTCAGGTGCTGGCTGCCCGCCCTCGCTCCACTGGGCAGGTACTGGGCACTGGCCTGCATCTGGTGGGGGAACTGGGGCGAGACCACCGTCAGGTTGACCAGCGCACCCGCCGAGCGGATCATCTCCACCACCTGCTCGTGCGAGGCGGAGCTCACGTCCTCCCCATTGATGGTGAGCAGGAAGTCACCGGGTCGCAGACCCGCCATGTCGGCCACTCCACCCGGATCCACGTCGTCCAGGTATTGGAGCGCCGGAAAGCGTTCCGAGGGACGCAGCTGCATCAACTGGGAGGAGGCCTTGGCGCCACGAAGGATGAATCCGAAGCCACGCTTGGCGCGATGCAGAACCACCGAACGTGGCGCATTGTAGGCGCTGCAAGAGGGGATTCTTTATTAGTTTGTAATTCCTATCAGGGATTAAGGTATCCTACCTCTTCTTGATGCGCGGAGCAGTGGCGCTGCTGTACTGACCCACCGAGTGGTTGTTGTTCCTGCTGTTCATCCCGTTCCCGGCTGCTCCTCCGCCTCCGTTGCTCTCACCCAACTGCTGGCAGGACCCGTTGCTGGCCACCGAGAGGGAGGGCGACTGGTGCGGCTGCTGCAGCAGAGTGCTGGAGCTGCCCGAGTGGCCGCCCAAACTGAGTTGGGGAGATCCCTGGTAGGAGGCGGCGGAGGAGACGGGCGCCTGCTGCAGATGCTGCTGCTGCTGCTGCTGATGCTGGGGAGCCATTCCCGTGCTGGCGGTCATCACGTTGGTAATGTGCTTCTGCCGCAGACTCACCTCCTGGACGCACTCCGCCGGGAAGAAGCCCGACTGGTTCGTTCCCCGCACGTAGCCCTCGAGGAGTCCGCAGTCGGTGCTGCCCACCACCTCGATGACGTCGCCCGGCTGGAGGCGAATGTGGCCCACTGTGTTGCCCGCGTAGGGCTCCATGCACACCACCGTGGTGCTGGGATGCCCGATGGAGCAGGCCGCCGAGTCCGAGTTGGTTCCCACGCCCGACGAGTCGCTGATTATGTCGCTGGTGTCGCCCAGGGATTTGTCTGTGCGAGGAGGATGACAAAACAGAGGTGAGTGGGTTGGTTCTCTCCGGGATCTTGGTTGTATTGATTATCTCATATGAGGCAGAGGACGAACGAGTGGCATGCGAATGTTCGGACACACAAAGGGAGCCTTTTGCTTTGGTTGGGCAAAGGCAAAGCGGATGCTTTATGTGGGGTAACTGACACGATCGATAATGGAAAAGTACAATGTGGAAAACTGTTTACACTTGGGAGTTACAAAAACTTAAGGTAAAGAATTTGATTCATTGGAGGGAAAGTAATACGGTAAGGTGTATTGAGAAAGTATTTATCGAAAAACTCTTAACTTAGTTGCAATGAAATCTAGAAAATCAGAATTACTTAGAGGATTTCTAAGCATATAAATAATTAAATATTTTACAATTTTGTATATTTAACCTTTGCCAATTGGAATTCACAATTTTAAGACAATGTTAGCTTTCCGATTCATTCATATGTATATCGATTATTTCGATAAATGAGTATGATTTCCTTAGAGATGAGTTTTAAAGTCAATAAAATAATTCATAACAGAAACTCATGCAATATCATATTTATTTAGTTCAAATCTACTTAAACGCATGCTATAATTTTTATAGAAACAAAATTATATAGATTATGAGTGTACTTATCCTTTTGGTTAAAACTAAATATATTATTACTTAAGATAGTTGTAGACCTAACTTTTCAGAGACCCTCTTAAAAAAGAACTAATATAACTAAACATAAGATGCAAATGCAAATGAGATCGAAACCGAACGGAAAACAAGGGCCATTCCTCACCTGTCACGATGCTGATGTCGTCCTCGTGGGAGCGGTGGCCGGAGGAGCCCTCGGAGAGGCTGGAGCTGGCCGAGCTGTAGGCGCCGAGCATGTGCTCCGAGGGGCACGGCGACGGCGGACCATGGAGCTGCAGCGTGTGCAGGTGGGGCATCTGGGCGTGCTGGTGGTGGTTCTGGTGGTGCAGGAGCTGGTGCTGATGCTGCTGCTGGTGGCCGGCGAGGTGCTGCTGGTGGCTCTGCTGGTGGCCAAGCATCAGACCAACACCGCCGGCCGAGCCGTTCCCGTTCCCGATTCCGTTGGCATTGGAGCCATTGGAGCCGACGACCATCGCACCACCGAAACCACCGCCAGCCGCTGCCATCAGAGCTGCGCCGGCGGCTCCGTTGGCGCTCAGCCACCCGATGCCCGAGCGGCGCTTCGGATTGTAGCGCGGCGGTCCGCGGAAGGGAACTGTGTGGCGATCAAGGACATTCGCTTTAAATGTGTGTGTGTGTGAGTTCTTTGTGTGGGTTTAGTGGGTCAGGGAATGGTTAGGTTGGGGGTGGTGGGGGTAAATGTTTTCAGTAACAGTTGGTCGTCTAGTCTGGAAATTATTGGAGCTGTTTGTCGAAGACGAAACCCTTATAAAATCAAGAATATGTTTCATACTAAAATTTCACTTTGAAGTTACATTTGGTTGATTAGATTTAAGTCTCCTAAATAAATACCAATTGTTTGATGTACAATATAACCTACTTACTATCTAGCTTCTTTATTTATTAATATTAAACATCTTGATTTTATAAGGTGCATCTTCTTTGGTTAGTATTTTGGTTTTTAAAAATTCGTTGCTCTAGCCAATTCCCAACGATAGCGTCCGTTCTCTACTCAATCTATTTGGAGTCAATAAAAAATGATAAAGAAATAACAAAAAGGAAATCTAAAACCCTAGACCAAGCCAGTTTATATGGATGCTCCGACGTTTGGTGACACACTTTACTTACACTTACTTACTGCTTATTTGTCGAAGGGTAAGCGACTGTCGTAAAAAGCAGAGGATGGAAGGACACTCTACCAGTGTCCTGCCAGCAAACGAACTCTAGGAAATGTGGTACATGGATGATAGAGCACTAATAACATTAAACAAAACATGGAACAAGAACAGCCAAAAACATTTTGAGTGTGGCATTAACCAAACTATTTGAATCGATTACATTTATGGAGCAAATATCTCAAACAAGCAATGCAAAATACGAAAAAGTGTTTGGGTAAAGTATAGGTTGCACTTGAATAGATCTTAAAAGGAGTACGGATATTTATATATATACGGATACGAGTATTATACATTGATATGGAAAGAGACCTATATTATCAAGGTGGATGGTTGATTGGTTGTTGAATGATTGATTGATTAATGATTTATGCAAGTGTGTTCAAAGAGAGAAAAATGGAGATGAAGTGAGACGCACAGAAATGCTGATGGGGGAAACTGATTCGAACTAAGTGGAAAAGGAAACTAGTTTCGGATGTGACCAATATATAATATAAATCGGAATTAAATAGATTGAGCAGAGCAAACGAATTTCAAATCAAAAACTTAATAAAACAAAGGTAAATCAAGAAGGTGTTTCATTAAAACACCTTCCCTTTGAATGGGATTTTTGGTTTGAGTTTGATGAGCATGAAGTTAGTTCGGTTGCGAGTTCGAGTCGAGTGTTCTTGAGGAGGCGATTGATGGAGTGACTTAGAGATCGTCAAGCACTTACCAATGTCCTCCGATTTGTAGTTCTCAATGATTTCGGCCAGCTCCAAGTTGCCGGCTATGACAGCCACCTGAGAGAAACGGATTTGGGTTAACAATCTGCAGTTCCAGCAACCAGATCAAAGTTATTAAGTCAAAGACTAACTTAGTCACTAGACTGAACTACAAGCGTAACTACAGCAGCACAAAAGTACCAACTTAGGTATAACAAACTACAAGTTTTCAACTAAATTCAAAAAGTTACGGTTCAGAGTATGCACAGAGAAAAAAATCTTGTTTCTTGTTATGTATTTTTATATCATGATGATATATTTAATAAACAGAAATAATATTAACACCCTTATGGAGTACTTAAATATATTTCTCGATAATAATGTTTTAATTGATTATTTCTCAAAATAAGATATTGATAATGGGTATTTATGTTATGCCAGATCTTCTGTAATTCTTTTCTATATTATTTTATAATTTTTTTATATTAGTCAAGATATTTTTCTCTGTGTAAACTCCGGATTGCAGACACTGGGATTTACCTGGTAGGGAGTTTGATTGGCAAAGTTCTGGGCGCCGCGCTGAGCGCCGCGAAAGAGAAGCATTCTGGCACAAGCCTCTTGGTTGTTAACAGCGCACACATGCAGCGGACTATTGCCGGACGCATTGCGGCCATCCATGTCAGCACCGTAGAACAGCAGGTGTTCCAGGTGCTGCACCAGGCCGTGCCGACAGGCCTACGGATCAGATCGAATCAGATCGGAGATCGGAGATCGGAGATCGGAGTTTGGAGACAGCCAAAGGATGCAGCAGAGATGCAAATGCCAACCCGCGGGTTACAAAGTATTAGCAAGCGATTTGGTTTTGTTTTTTGTTTTGTTTTTGTTTTTAAGAGTTAGAAAAGAAAAGTTCAAGAAAGAAGAGAGAGAGAGAATTGAATCATTAATTGGCGTTCAACGGTTGTGGGCCAACACCATTTCACCGGGGATTGGCGCGGGGTCAAAGCAGTTGCTGTTAGGGATCGCCATGTTGGAGAAGGACCGCCACCGACTCACCTGGTGAACCTCGTTCCAGCCCTGGCTGTCCTGGATGCCCAGCGTGGCGTGGTCGTGGAGCAGGCTCTCCGTGATCTTCGCCTCGCACTTCCTCGTGATGGAGATGTACAGCGGGGTGATGCCACGCCCATCTCGGTAGTTCGGGGAGGCGCCCAGCTCGAGGAGGGTGCTGTAAAATCAGTAAAGGATTATTAGGATTGGTTCAAAGATTATAAACAATTACTAGAATGATTAGACTGCATGCAAATCATTTTGTTAATACACTAACGCAATATTGATATATATTTCCAATAATACAATCAACTCCTTACCTGACTGCCTCCAGGGAATCATGCTCCACAGCTCGATGGAGAGCGGTAGTTCCATCCTTGGTCCTGTAATCCAGCAAGGCTCCTCCGTTGACCAGAGCGATGAGCAGCTTGTTCGGCTTCTTGGCGCCCGTGGCCACTGTTAAAGGAGTATCCCCACTCTCCGAGCAGTGGAAGTTGGGATCCAGGCCCTTGGCACACATCTTGGCTATCTTCTCCACGTGGCCGCCGTTGATGCACTCGAGGAAGCGGCGCAGATTGGCCCGCGTGTGAAGAGCCTTCAGCTGGCGTTCGTCCAGGGTGAGCATTTTGTACACCCGCCTTTTGTACTTGAGCTAAGGTTTCGAAAAAGCAATAAGTTAGAGGAACACGTGAAAAAATGTGTGGGTGGTGGGTGGCTCTTACCTCCAAATAGCCAACGGGTCCGTTGAAGGGATAATCGCCCAGGCGGCGTTCTTCATCCAGGAATTTTCCCGCCTTGCCGTTCGCAGGTGGGGCAAACAGGCCATAGTTGAAGCTCTCCTTGAGCTCCTGGAAAAAGGAAGAGGAGGAGGAAGGTGGTTAGCATTTAAGTACGTGGTGCGTTGGCGAATCAGGTGCTCCATTGACGTGCTCAAGTCGTGCGAGTCCTACAAAAGACTTCCGGCCTGGCAATTGCTGAACTTCCTCCTTGTACTTATGCACACATAAAAACACTGACAGAAAATACTGATTCCCAAAGCAATTCAACCAATATTTGAACTTATAGAATATATAGATAAATTATAAAGAAAATACCGAACTTAAGAATGTCCAATTGAATTCAATTTTCTAACTGCTTTAAATTTATTTATATCTGTTTCTTTTAATTCTCAAGGTGTGGTTTCTAGCTTCAAGAATCTAGCTTATTTTTTCAAGTGCACAAATGAGTATTGCTTGCTTTTGTATACATGTGCTGTGTCCTTTACAATGTCCTCGCTAATGAGCGCGTGACTGCAGTGCCAACTACATCGGAACCACCAACAGCCGCCCAACAGACATTCTGGCATTCATAATTCACCGCTGCCTTTAAGTGGCAATTTCTTGTTTTAATTAAACAAAAAATTTCCCAGCACGGGGAGTGCTTTCCCATCCCCATCCCCAGCTCCTCCCCCTTTTGCCACCCCGGAAAAGTCGGTCTATGATGCACAGACTCCCAGAAAATGTCTCGAGTGTATAACGGGTTTGACATTGCCGCTGCATTAATTATGCAAAGTGCGTGTGTGTGCACACACAACACACATGGGTTGGTGTGTGTGTGTGTGTGTTGGTTACCGCTTTTCCGTGTTCTATTTGCCTTTATTCCCAACGCCCTTAAGTGCCTCGAAAGGCAGTTCCATGTTGGCCCATAATGCGCCAAATGTTGCCATTAAAGTGAACAGTTTGTCGTGGATCTCGACTTGGGTGTTGGCCAGATGTGTGGAGATGGGAGGAAATGGGTAGAGCAGATATGGAAGGGGCTCTTCTTCCAATTAACTACCAAGATGTATTGTCTTACAAGCTGGTGGTTTCCTCAAAATGGGTTTCTGTTTATTTGGTTACGGTTTAGTAAAGGAAATATATACAATAAGTAACATATTCATCATTTGAATACTTCTTATCTTTGCATTGTTTTAGCTTACAGATTATTCAGAACTTTGGAGCTCCAACTTTTAATAAAATATAAAAATAGAAGCCAACAAGTTACAGGTTATTTGCATACAGTGAAGCCAGGCAATATCTGAATGCTATTCCGGCTACATGCACTTTTTCTTTCCAGTCACGTTTCCGAGACTTTGTTTATATAGTTGGATCCCCGGTTTCATATGCAGCAGCAGCAGCAGCAGCAGAAGCAGCAGCCCTTCTTCATGAAGCCACCCACCCTTGGACATATAAATTTCAACCACACAAACTAACACGCCCCCAAGTAGCAGTTACGCCCCCTCCCCACTTCATATTTCCCCTCCCCAAAGGAGTTGCCTTTACGAAACAACAAAACACGTTAACGGCTGTGCGCCAAATGGATTTTATGGCGCCACCCCGAATCCTCTGCCCTTCGGACCGCTCCCTTTCCCAGGACGCTCCTCCAGCCCTCGTCCTTTTGGCACCCTGGGTCTCGGTTACAGTCTCAGTCATGCACATGCAAATTGCAGACACGTCGCTGGCCTAGACCCCAACAAAAAGCAGGGAGCTAGAATCCAGAAGCTATAGGATGGCTACGAAGTGGGACATACCCTATCAGCATATATATACATGTATTCTAATGAAACCATAACCATTTGATTATACAACAAAATATACAAAATACATATTTTCTTTATTAAGAATTCCCAAAATAAACTTTACTAGCAGTTGATCAACATAACAATATACCCTTTGTTAGGGTATAAAAGACCAGGAGACCCCAGGAATCCAGAAAGGGATTCCAAACTTTCGGGCTTGGGGGTTGCGCTCTTGCCCAAAGGGAACTGCTCAAAGTCAAGTTGTTTGCGCAAATTGCATTTTTATGAGTTTTGATTTCGATTTTCCAATCCGTAAGACGACTCATAAAATAGCGTCGACATTCGGTGGGGATTACAAAAGCGGGGGCCAGACGAAAAAGGGATGCTGTTGGGAAAAGTAATTTAGAACTTGTGCGCACTTTTTGGCTTTAAAGCACTTTTCAAACTGTTTTTGCTCATTTTGGGGTTTTTTCCGTGCGACTATGTTGGCTGCCGTACGTTGGCCATAAATTCGGTTCGGCTGCAACAAAGTGGAGCAGGCGGAATGTGTATTCGACATATTCGGCTGTATTTTTGCGGCAGCGCGGCCAGGGGGCAGGTGGAAAAGTTGGTGGGGCAATGTCCATAAATCATGGAGGAATTGCAACTGCAGGCAAGTAACATAACCAGCAGACCCAATGGCTCTCTGAAGGGTATAGAAACAAATTGCAATTTGCATGAAATTTACAATATTGCACAGTTTGGGAGACAGCTCGTGCAGTTTACGAGTCTCGTAAAAATTAAGGTGAAGCTTCTTGAGAGCTGGCCAATTAGTTTCGAAGTCGTTTTACAAGGAAAATACGTGTCTGAAACAAAGAACAAGGCTGCAGATAATTTAATTTAATTTACCATAGCTTTCGACTGATTATAAAAGATTATAAGCTTGGAAAGAAAGCCAGATTAGCTGTGTAATTTATAACATTTGCAAAAGAACCTACTTTCTAAACAAGAATTATGTTCTCACTATTGATAAAGAATCATTTAGATTTTGTTTAAGCAAACATATACAGTTGAAGAAGCACTGGGTTATAAACTCAGCTTGAAATAATTCAATTCAATTTAGCAGCAATTGGCAATCTGCATGAAAAGTACTTAGTCGCACAGTTGGAGAGCCACTAGAGCGGCGAGTGTCAAGCTCAGATGCGAGAACTCAAGTAAATGTCAATGCAATGTGTAATGTTCGCTGTGCACTTGCTGCCAGCAAATAAGCGACTTCCTGTTCCAATAAGAAATACTCGAGAGACCCCGAGGCGACTCGGCCAACAACAATGCGAGCAGCAACAAAAGACATCATTGATAAATTGTCAAACAGTAGTTGCTGAGCTGATGCTGCTTACTTGTTGCTGCATTTGTTGCAATTGTTTTCTTGTTGATTGAAAGCAAAGCGAGAGGGAAATAGCGGCAGGTAAGCGTAAACAGTGCCAGCAAAAAGTAAATAGCCAGTCCGATGGACTGGACAGCCTCCAACCATGGAAGTGGGTCGCCGACCATCTGTTGTTTTTCTACACGGGAAAAACTACAATTTTTAATATTTTTTCAACAAAAAATAACAGCGTTCAAAAATAATAAGTAAAATATATAAATAATATGTAAGATATAAAATCATCAGAATAAAGTAATCCATATTTTTTCGTAGTGCCTTAATATTTTTCATATTTATCTAACCTACGTATTTCAACAACTATTTGGAAATCTTAGTGGTGAGGTTTAAATTGCCAAAAATGTTGCAGTAATAGTACCCAAAATTATCTCAATTTTTTCTGTGTAGCTGTAATCTCGTTCTATTGGCGCAATTAAAGTCGCAACTAGCTTAAAGTTTGCAGCCTGCAGTTTTCAGTTTGCTAAAGTCACGGCTTGGATTTGTTTTGGTTTTTGGATTTTTGCCCCTTCCACGGGAAACTTGGTGGTTTTGTCAGGCTCTATACATTTATGGTCTCATTAGTGTCAGCAAATTTTGTATGCCTTTTATTTTTGAACATTTGCGTTAGGTTTACTTTGGCATTTCGGCAACGGAAAAGTACAGTTTGGCAGCCACTGGTGCCTCCAACTCCCACTCAAAAGGTATCGAATAACCAAGGATCTGAGCCAAATGAGTTGACAAAGCAGCAAAGTGATAACGGAAACAGTAAAAGAAGGGAATAACCAGAAAAAAAGATGCTGCACCTTGGGACAAAGTGGTAAAGTGGTAACCAAAACCTGAATGCCACAAGTGTTATTCAGTTTATCGTATTTAATGGTTTTGCAATTACTGAACAAATATTTTCTTAGCGAAATCGGCTTTAAAACTATTATGACCAGAATTCCAGTTTACTTTCCGCCTTGACTCTGTTTCACTTTTCTAAGTAAATATTTACACACATGCGCCAATATTAAGCACACGATCCATTTGCTAAGCAAATATGTTTTCTGGAGCACAATATCTGCGTCAGACTTTGTGAATCATTTGCCAACTTCCTGCTCATTAGCTCCCAAGAAGAAGCCACCTCCAATTGTTTTGACCAAATGCTAAATTTGAGTTCCCTTGTTTTTTCTAACCGACATTCGGCGTTTCCTCTGCCATTGTGCCTGCATCTTTGGCTCGTTCTGTGTTCTTTGTTGTGGAAGAATCTCCGATTCCGCTGATGTCTGGGCTTCTCAAGTTGCAGCCCAAGAGGCTTCAGCATCAATTTATGTAATCTGCCAACTCGCACACACACACAGAAACCCCCAGAACTGGGCTCTGTGTTCTGTGCTCTGTGTTCTGGGCCTGGACTGGTGGACCTGGACTTGGTCACATCATCTTATAAATTTAGCTCGTTTGCCGAAAGGGAGCAGAAGGCAGCAGAAGATGGGATGCCTGTGGTTAACCGCAGAGCCACTTTGAATCGCAGTTTGGAGCCGCGAACAATGCCGCCCGACCATCGCAAACTTGAACCACACACTTAAAAATATCTTTTGTGTTTTTATTAGAATATGAATATTCAAACCCGAAATACTATGTCACAGCTTTCAGCTTGGAATTGTATCCCCCAATTTCTATGATTAATATTTCAATTAAATATTAAACATAATACTTTCTTTTTCTCAGTGTTATAAGCAGGAGATGCGTTTTCAAAACTGGTTTTCATCCGCGGTTTCTGTTCGACATTCGCATTCCTATCGCTCGAGTTCGAGTGTTTGACAATTTAGCGGCGCTGAACTTGGGATGGTTTTGGGTTCGGTTTGTTTGCCCTTACAGATCAGCCACCTTCCCCTCCACCCTTCTGCCCCACCCCCTCATGTGACACTTGGGTA